ACACTCAGCCGGTGTCACAAAGGATAATTGCGGCATGAAATGAAATGAAATATGCATTTGAGGCAGGTAAATAGTGTAAGATGATGGATAAATAGTGAGAAAGAGAGCGAGGGAGAGACTTTCTCTTCCTGCCTCTGATGATTGGAGCAGACAATGGGGCTTCCTACGTTTATAGGTCAATTGCTGGTGATTAGGTGGGCTGAGTTAATTAAAGAAATTACCCAAAATGCAAGCGCAGGGACTGCTTGATGAGATACCAGCGTCACTGTCTAGTCACCTACTTTTGGAGCTGCTTTCGTCCAAGAGGGAGGTGCTTGCTGAGTAGAATTTGAATCAAATGGAAAGACTTGAAACGCTGACTTTTTTTCCCGGAAGTGCTGGGAAATCTGAACGAAACTCCGGCTTTGTAGGTCATGTTGTTTAGCATTTATGAATTATGTGTGTTTTTATTTCTCAAGGATTTGGTTATGTTTCAGAGCTTCTTCAGGATTTATCGCAGTTTTCTTTGTCCCCTTAGTCTGTGCTTTTTTTTCATCTCCCTCTCCTTTTCTTCTTATTTTAATGTAAATAGCCCAGAATTAAGTTCTGAACATTCAGCGCTGAATGAATCGAATCACAGATGGTCTGTTTATCTTGAATTGAATAATTTTTTTTCTTGAATGTGTTCTCATTTTACCACTGATAACAACACTTGATTCGGTTACTTTGCATACTATTAATCCTGAAAAGCGATGTATTCATCCTCCCTTTTCATTTTTGAGCTCATGGTATAAATATGATTTCCCTCGTGCTCTTTTTACTCTATAATCTCATTCATTGTGAATCACTTTGAAATCCCTCTATCTGAGAAGAGGGTTTCTGTAATATTACAGTACATTCAGGTTTAGAGGAGAGTCATTAACCGTTTACGGCGACCCCAAAGAGCCTAAAAAGACTGCTGGCATGCATTGTTTAACTTTTAAGCAGCATTTTTAGGTGTTCAGTGGCATTTTTAATTGGCATATTCTCAATTTCACATGTAATACAGATGCACTGGATGAAATTCAGACTTTGCATCATCATTTTCCAAATCTGGCATTTTGATTTATTAAGCATTCCTGACTTTTAAATATTGGAGAATAGCAGAGCCGCGCTGCTTTATTTTGTATGCATTGTAACTTATGGCAATGATGAATTAATTTCAGTGGAGCACAGAATTTGTGATTATTTTAAATGGTATCCATATCTTAACTGAATCAGAGCGGGTGAAGCTAGCAGACTGTGAAATGTAATTTTTAGTATTTTTTTCCCTTCTTTTTTCACCCTTCCTTGTAATGTTAGGATTCCGGGCACCTGAGCAATGCACTGATAATAACTAGGCTTCTTGGATCACAAAGTCTGCCTTTCCGATGCCTCCCTGAAATAATCATCAAGCTCTTTTTCAGGTCTGTTCTGCGCGTCCTATCAGGGGAGAGGGCCGCCGGTTTCCACGGGAGGGGACAAATGAAGTGCGTCTTGGCGAAAGTGGAGTGTGTGTGTGAGAATGTGTTAATGTCACAGTCGCAGCCTCCGGTGCCCCTTTTCAGCGACTTGTATAAAACATATCCCGCGGTTTCTGAGCACTTTAGATGATGGAGAACTTAGAATTGTGATATCCGAGCTCCGATAAGAAGGGTGCCACATTTGATAATGAGGCAACGTTTGCGGTTCTAAAAATCAGATCAGCTCAAACGAGCGTGAGTAACTTTACTCCTCCGTGATGAGGAGTGTATGTGTGTATGAGAAACATCTGGGCTATATTTGTGGCTTTCCCGCCCCACACCTTTCTTTGCAAACCCACCCACCTGAAATCACAGACGTAGCCCTTGAATGCATTGTCAGGATCCTGTCTGGGATTTTTCACCTGATGGAAAGGACAGATTTGCACAGCCTACGATTCGAGAGCAAACATTTACACAGCCAGAAAGGAATCGCAACCATGGTACTGTTACAGTGTTTAAAACACAAAAAACACACAGCGAGAAAAGAAACGGATCCAAATAACATCTTTTACTCCAGAAACGCAGCAATTTGGTTTTTATCAACCTTCTTGAATACACACCGACTTCCTTTTAGATGATGACTGTTATCAAGATGATATGGGTAATAACGGTTCACAAGCGCCGAAATGTGTTTTAGGACTCGTCCAGTTTTGCCAGTGTCAAATGGGCCGGAGCTTTTCCACACTAAAAGACTAGCAAGGGCTGTGAATATGTTCCAATAGCACAAACCCTTGACCCCGGTGGGTTTTTAGGAAAAGACAGTGTGTTATAATGACAGACAGTTGGCCCCAAGGGTCAAAGACAGAGAAACGGGGGTCCTACAGTAGACATGAACAAAGACAGACTTTGGGTGCTGGCTTTCCTCCCCCTCTCTCTCTCATTCACGCTCACGCTTTCATTCCGTCCATCTCTCTCAGGCGGTACAGTACTGTACTAGACTCTCTCCTTCACTCAGTGTCATTCAGACACGTAAACCCCCCCCACCCTCCTCGCGTCCGCTCCATCGCGTGGAAACGATCGTGAGCGAAGATGTGTTTCTAATTGACATTGTAATTGGCAGATTTGGATGCTGCCTTCAGATGGCTAATTAATTTATCTCACCGCTGTCATTAAGGTTAAAGCAGCACCTGATCTCTCTGAATACACTTTGCATACATCTTCATGAGCATTATGTTCGGTTAGACACCTACACGCCAGTTGTGGATCATGTGGATTTAGAGGATACAGTGTTAATAATGTGTGTTTCTATAATGACAGGATCAGTATTCCGCGTCATTAAACCCAAAACCAAATTTGAAGGGGAAAAAAGTATTTTTTCCTTCTTTTTTTCCCTCCTCCTTCCCAATATTACATGAAAATGTAATCTATTCTTTAGTTATTTAAAAACATGTGTTTAATTCTAGGAATAATCAGTTCGTAGAAATCATATTTGAATTTCCACAGTGCAAACTGGGATTACAGTGATCTGAAATGTAATTTTAATTAGCACTTTTTTCCAGGTTTGAGTAAGAACAGTGTCCTAAACTTTTTAGTCTCCTTCATTGTGCCATTAAAAAACACTCCATTACGTTGTTCATAAAATTCGCGTAAAGGCAATCAAGCAGCCCTTCTCTGAATATTTTAAACATGGGGCATGTAAAATTTATGCCTAATTTGAATACTTATTAGTTGCCTAATCTCTACGGCAGCTTTGTGTTTCTTCAGGAGAGATCTCTCTCTCTCTCTCTCTCTCTCTCTTTCTCCTGGTCTGTTAATCTTCTGCACTTTTGTTTGTTCCCAAGTTGACCAGTGCATACTGGTTAGGTGTACTTTTTAAATTAAAAAAAAAACTCTTGCTTCTGTTTCTCATAAGACACAAGCAGTGCTGTTAAAATGTCATTATCTGATCTGAAAAGCAGCCGTGGATTAGAAGACTACTACGTCTTTGTTGTGTCGTGCATTTGATTAGCGCCGTTCTTCTTCTTCTTTTTTTTTTTCATGGTTCGGCTGTCGAGTTACTGTACGCTCTCGTTCAAAGATCGCTGCTAATTGTCCGTACGTAGCAGGTGACAAAATTGATGTGTTTAATCTGGGGAAAGAAGGATGGCGGAGCTGTCTGGGAAATAAATGAAAGTGTTGCTGGAAAAACGAATCCCTTCTAAACATTACACGAGATTAGGAATATTTTATTGTGCGTGCTCGCCGTTAGCGTAATTAATATTGTTTATGTTTGAATGTGCTGAAATATGAGACGGTCCGTCGTCATTTTCTGAGAGAAACAAAATGTGTAACGGGTAGAGAGGAGGAGGTTTGATGAATATGTGAATGACGGGAGTGTGTCTGTGTGTGTGTATTAAGGCTCTTGAGGGTGTATTAGCTATGCTGAACACACCTTGAATTGCATTTGTTGGGTCGGACGATTCTTTTATTTATTGCAAGGATCTCTACAGACCTTAGAAGGGTTCCTGTGAACATACACAACATTTATGCAGGGAAAATGATAAAACATTTATTACCAGAGAAGAGGTAATATGCATAATTTATGCTGTTTTAAGCACAATCATTAGTGATATTCGTGAAAGATTTTTTTTTTTTTAAGCCACCACTCTCCCCTGTTTTCATATCTAATAGATGGCAGGGAAAATTAATTTAATATCTTTTCATTTATTTGCCAGAGTAAAAATTGACATGTGTGATTTTTGTTCTGTTTGAATTTGGTGTTTGAATTTTAATTGTGCTCAGTGGACGGCGCTAAATATACGGAAATAATGAATATTTGAGTATGTGATTAAAATAAAACAGGAGGAAGAGAACTTGCCTATAAGTGACAAGCTTTTTTTCTCTCCTCATTTGACTAGCAGGCAAATTTTATTGAGCTTCAGCTAAAAGAAAAGGCCATTATATCGTTCATCACAGTACAGAAGCATGTGATTTGTAATTCCCCCTCTTCTCCCCTCACCTTCTGTACCAAATTTTAATTTTGCATGATTAGCTGTGCATCATTAAGCAACTCAGTTCAGTCGAGACACAACGGGGATATTTTAAGACGTTTGAACAGGAAAAAAAGGCTTCATACATGTTATATTTAAAATATGTTCCTTTTGAAATTATTCACACCACATTAAAGTCACTAAATTTATTTTTATACACACTATGTGATGTTTATCTGTGTGTGTGATGGTTGATAAGCAAAAAACTAAATACAATTTTTTTTAAAAGCATGCATTAAGCTAAATTAAAAAATAAGTAAATAAACGGCAGGAAGAAACGTGCATCTCTTTGTATTGCTTCATTTACACAGTGAATGCATAATTCCACCCCCTCCCCCCGTTAAATGCTTTAATTTGCAAAGGGAGCAGGGGTTGATAATGGAAAGCTTTTTTTTCTTTCTCGCCCCCATTTTTCCTTTTTCTTTTTTAGTTGCCCCCCCTCTTTTTTTTAGGAGGCAACTAAAGGGGATTGTAACAAGAGCCTTAACTGGTGCCTCTTAATCACTTCTAGGTATTAAGTCATGATGCAGGAGTCGGCCAATGAGACAATAAGCAACAGTTCAATGAGTCAAAATGGAATGAGCAGCCTAAGCAGCCAATTAGATGCTGGCAGTAGAGATGGAAGATCAAGTGGGGAGACGAGCAGTGAAGTAAGCGCAGTCGAGCTGCTGCATCTGCAACAACAGCAGGTAAGTTGTGTCTCTCTCCCCCCGTCCGTTGTCATCCACCGCGCTCTGTCTCTTACTCTCTCTCCCTCCCTCTCTTTCTCTCTCTCTCGCTGGCTTTCACACAGGGCTCAGCAGGCAGCTATTTGACTGACACCCTTCAGTTGTGCACATTTAGACAGGAACTGGACTGTTTTATTGTTTTATTCTTGTTTGTATTATATTTTAGTTCTTATTTATTGGCGGTGTTTATTTAAGCGTAGTTTTCACTTGAAATCATTAGGATTTCAAGAGTTTTGTGCAGAAATCTGGCTGTATTTGGGTTGTTTTTGACTTGTTTTGGAGGTGTTTTGGTGCTTCTGTGCAAGAAGTGTGCCGGCTGAGGCCGTGCATGTGTGTTTGTGTGTTGAAGTACGGAGCTTTGCTCCCGTTTCTTTGTTTGTGGCCACTAGAGGGCCTCCTTATTTGACTTCACAACATTTTATGGGCTGCCAGGCAACTCGTTCACTCCAGAAACCTCAACTGACCAGTGCATGTTGTATTTGTCTCAAAATATATATGCATAATTATTTGACTTTTAAAAGCAACACAGTTTTGTGTTGTATGTATTTATGTATGTATGTGTCTCGGTGCAGTGAGTGATGGGTTTGACAGCTCACCAAAAGAGCAGCATGAGAGGTCCGGCTGAGCTCAGGGATAGTCTGCGGGCAGTGTGGAGTGTGTGTTCACTTATTCACTCACAAGTGTGTCATTGGATGTAAGTTTGTGTCTGAAAACAGAATTTGTGATTCCTCAGGCATTGTTTGTTTTGTTTTCAAGGACTTAAGCAAGACGTTTAATACTTTTTCCTTTTTTCTTTTTTTTTTTTTTTGGTTGCCATGTGAATGTTTATACTACTAAAATGCTTAAAAGTAGGCCAATAATTCCAAAATTATTGATTTTAATAGTGGAACATTTTTATAATATATATTTTTAATTGTGTATTTATAATTTTGTTTTATAATACTTTTATTAGTATTATTATTAGTATTTGTATTTAGTTTTTTTTTGTTTGTTTTTTGGCAGCTTAAGTTTATAGCTATTAAATGGCAGTTATTTTTATTATTATTATTTGTGTGTGTGTGTGAGTGGATGGGTGTGAGTGGCTCAGTGCTGGTGACAGCAGCTGAAAGCAGCCCATAGGCCTGTGGGTAAGACAGGATCAGTGTAGCAGAGTGAAGTGTGTCCTGCGGCTCTTTGTGGGCCCCTCTGAACACCCCCCTTCATAGCCACCCTCTCCAGCTGGTGATTACAACAGCACCCCCATCTCATGGCCTCTCCTCCCATTCATCATCACACCGGCCGTCTCTCTCTCTGTGTGTCTCACACATGCGTCTGATTGGGGTCAACCCCCCCGCCACACACTTTCTCATTACTGACTTCTGTTTTAACCTGCTCACTTCAGCGTGTGTGAGATACAGATCAGTGTTTGGTGGTTAATGCTGGGCTCTTCAAAAGTGTTTTTGTAAACTTGCATCAAAGCCATTATTGATAATAGTTTATATATGTGAATTGTTAGTAGTTGATGATGATGACGATGATGTTTTTATTATTATTATTATTATTATAAACATAAAATATTAAAAAATTAAATGTGTATACAAATATATATTTATATATTTAGTTTGTAATTATGATCAGTGTCAGACTGAAATATTAAAATATTATGAATTCTAAATATTATTAATTCTAATGAATTAGCGTAATTTTAAATAATGTAGTTTATTTTATATATTTTTATATTATTATTATTTTTGTTACAGTAAGCAATTAGAAATATTAAAAATAATATATTGATATTATAAATATGAATGTATATAAATATACGTTTAAAATACATTTTAAAAATGTAAACAAATCAAAATTGTGTTATCTGTCTGTAGATAATCCACACTAAGAGTGGAAGAAAAGGGCAGTGTAAGCAGAAAGAGTGACGAGAGGAGAGATGAGTGCCATAGAGACAGTGGAGAGAGTGACAATGTTTCACTTACAGAGAGCAAGCGGAAGAGCGCAGACAGACACATTGAAATGACTGGGCCAGCTAACAGGCCTCGGGAGGCTTTTTAAAGGGAGGCCAGGTGCTGTTAACTTCACACACTTCCTGCACAATTCCCTCACACACACCACAGTCAGAGAATTCCTACACATCCGCCTAATAACCACCTAGATCTCTGAGTTTTGGTGTTGTGTGTGTGTGTGTGTGTGAGAGAGAGAGCGAGAGAGAGCGATATGAAGGAGTCCAATTAAAAATAACTGTTAGAGATTGCTTGTAATCTAATATTTTTGTCCATTGCCAAAATTTCTTACTCAGAAAAAAACACCCAGAAATTACAAATTGTCTTGTGATTTTTTTTTGTAATTATTATTATTATTTATTTATTTATTTATTTATTACATTTTACATTAAAATTTACAGTGTGTTGTGGCTATTTTTCTGCCAACATTTTCAGAAACACTTTTACATTTGCAATACATTATATTTCCATAATAATCTTCTTGGAAAAAGTATAGCAGCACTGTATGTTCTTTTTATGTTTCTGACAAGAGTTGTGGTTAAGGACATGGACTTCATTGATTTGCAGGCTGATGTTAAATGAGTTTTAATGTTGCTATATGTATAATGGTGTGTGCATACAAGAATGTTTGCATTGATCTGTAGATAATGTGATGTGATATAATGGAACCTCTAGATGATTGTTCTAGTTTAATAATCTGTGATTGTATGGATTTATAGTGTAGTTAGCCGTACTCTGCAATTTAACTTCCTGTCTGGAGAGGAAGTTCTCTGGGGTATATTAGTAAAAAGAGTGCCGTTTTAAAATCCACACGCCATGCATTTTACCTTCATTCATTAGAATTGAATTATAGATTCTGCAGTATTTTATACTATATAAACATGCCATTGGCTCTTGGAATATTTCTGTTTTTATTTATTTGTTTATTTATTTATTTTTAGATCAGTTCTGCACTTTTTATTAGCCACTCTTCCACATGTATTTATGAATGTCATGCCCAAATGCATAGGACACTGTTCATACATTTTAGCTTGAGGAGAATTTAAGATGAGACGCCTGACAGCCAGTGTCAGCCATATTTTCCCCATCTTCTTCAGGTGTAAGAGCAAATGAAATTGGAGGTAGTATCGCAGTTGAGGGAGCCACTTGGGGAGGAGGTGTCCATGGAAAACAAATTATTTAAATAGGACTTATTTTTCACTTATTTATTTCATTTTCCACAATGATTTTCCGCAAATCCAAGAAAAACACCTGGAAAATATCCATAAACTGAAGCATAACAGAGAAAAACCACAGTGCTAATTGATATTCAATGAGTCTGACTCCATCATCACCCCACAAACACATTAACACACATGCCTGCGTTCAGAAGAGGTGGGAGGGAGCGTCTCTAGGGGTCCATTGACTGTCATTCAGGAGGGCAAAGTAACAAAGTAACACGGAGACGCCACACAAACAGCCAGTCTCGCTTCCGTCTCCCCCACCGTCCACCGGGAGCTGCGAGTGCAACATCTTCAGGCAGGGTGATGACGGCTTTCGCCGCTCATCAGCCAAATAAAAGCCCCTCTGATGCAAATAGCGCTTTGCCCTTGAGCATAATTTAAAGCAGTAATCACCCCTGGAGTCTCTACCGTGCAGATAGTGAAAGCGAGGTGACTGTCTCATTTACACTCCAGCACAAAGAAGCTCATTAGCTTTATCACACCGGCCCGAGACTCCTCCACTACAGTGTGTAAATAACACACACACACAAACGGTTTCACCAGAGCCCTATTTCATAAAGCTCTCACAAAGATTGGTGCTAGAAACAAAATAAAACATGTTTTGATGACTTGCCGTTGTATTTTACGGTTACCATTTCACTATCAGCTTACATCGCTTTGACATATAGAGGCGTGCTGATTCTCGCGATGACACTGCAAGATATAAACCTCTCCGTGACGGATGTGCGTGCTCCGTTCCTCCCCAGACAACAGCAGGCATTATTCTATTATCACCAAAGAGAGCTCAGATCCTGGAGTGGTCATTTGTGTTTAGGCCACATAACATGTGGCTGTATGGAATTTACAGTGCGCCTGCAGTAGTAACTCCATTTCCCATCGGCCTCTCCAGAGACCAAGCGAAATGTCAAGCCGTGGCTTTGAAAGAGAGATCGAGTGAGGGACAGGACGGGGAGGGGGGTAGAGAGAAAAAGGAACAGAGTGAAATCTGCTGGAAACAAACACTCATGACCGTTGCTCATGCTTGGGCGGCACTATTAGCGTCATGGGGAGGAAACACCGGTCAAAGACGTGCAGGTGAAACACACACACCTTCAGCCTTAGTGTTATAAATGAAATGAGCCACGTTTGCACATTTAGGCAACAAGGGAGACTTTTTTTTTGTAACAGAAATATTTATATATAGCAGAGGTGCCCTTTTACCTTTCCAGTGCTTATGTAGTCCATCTTTTATTTTATTTTTCAAGTTGTTTTATACATTAATAATACCTTTTTACAGTTTTATAATTTTTTATTTTACTTTACAAATATTTCATACTTTGTATGCATATTATTCTATACTCTTATAAATACCCATCTGTTTTTAATGTATACTTTTTGTATTTTTTGTTTTATTTAATTTGATAACACTTTATTGACTGAATGGTGGAGAAGGGTTGGGACGAGTGGGATATTGGGAAATGTTATGACATTCTGAGCCCAACTGAGCACCACAGCTCAATGTGTTAGCGTAGGGGCTAACCATTAGGCCACGACTCTGACCAGCCGCTTGTGTTTAGCAATTACGTTTAACCTCAGTGTGTAAATAAAACTCAAGCAGTCGGCCAGTCAAGATCAATGACCACTTCACATCTCATTTACTGCTGTTTTGATGTTTCCTAACAGCCCTGCCTGCGGAAATTAACGGCACTGAAATCTATAACGGCCCTCAGGGCAGAAGCCTCCACTGGAGACAAAAGCGACATACTTT